AAAGCAAATCATATTCCACTCCTAACAGTTCACAATCAATATTTTACAACAATCGTATTCACAAAAAAGACTCCAACCAACCAACGCCTTATTTTGATTCTTATGACCCTTATTTTCACCCCTGTCACCCTCATGACCCTTGCAACCCTCGTAATCCTTATGAGCCCTGAAAATTTTTGCGTCATCTTAATTTACAAAATTATTATATATAGAAAAAAAAATGAGACATTACAAGTTTGAAGCAAACGGCTATTCTACATCGAGAGCGTCAGCTGCAAATCCTAGCAGAAGTGCCGTTCATTTACATCTGATGAAAGACCTGAATAGCGCGATAACTTGATTAAACCTTCTCGCAGGCCATCGACTTATCGTATGGCTTCAAAGTGTCTGTACGTCATAGAGAACAGAGGAGGGTAAATTTCGATATAGTTCAGGGCTGTCTGTGCTTCTCCACACTGCCAAGCTCAACATTTCACCGTAGATAGGGGCTTTTTAGGGTTCGCCAGTTGGGGTTAAACCCATGGGGCCTTTGACCCCATCCCCAACCAACTCTGTAGCCCTACAAACCATGCATTTCAGACTTGGCCAACTCTCTCTGAACGCTCACGGCCAACTTTCCGAAGATGTAATGTATATAAAGGGGTATACATCTTGACCCTTCGTCTTAGGTCCTTTGGAAGGACTCGAGCTATCTGAAAACCACGACAAACATCGTATATTCATTCGGATATCGGTTTATCGCGGGAGTTGAGTCATCAGTTTCTGGGGGTATTCAATGGCTACTTCCGGAGCAGAGAATTTAAGAATATATAAAATATATTTAAATAACATGTTTTTTCACAAGGAGAGAAAATTTGTTCTGCCGAAAAATTATAATTATTATATTATTATATTATTATATGCCCCTATTTTATTAATTATGCCCCCCTGAAGAGATATTTTGTCGCGTTGTATCAATTTATTTCTGACGATAACGGCAAAAAAAATTCAACACAAAAACAAAAACGGACAAAAATTTTAATTAACAATATTAAATCTAAATAAAATGAATTCAATTAAATTAGTAAAGTAGTGAATGTAAATATTTTAAATATTAATTTAAAAAAATGATTTTTGTGGAAGATATTAAATTTCCTTTTATCAAGTTGGTTAATTTCCCTCGAGTAAATCTGTCCCACTCTCTAAAATATTCTCTATTATTCTCTCAATTAATATTCAGAGGGCATTAGAAATTACGGGTCACGAGGGTCAAGTGAGCCGCAAAAGTGTAACACGTGAAGTAAAACGTTACACAAAACGAAAAAAAATACATTGACGCCATAAACATCATGTTTGATCCACGGAGAGAAATCTTCAATAAAAATTACGTATCTTTTCCGTAATTCCGGAGCGAAATGTGGTTGTAGAAAATTTTACGGAACTGTCACGGAATTTTTCCGGTGCATTCCGTAATTTTTATCTGAATCTCCTGTGAAAAATTACGATACCGTCATTTAAATTTTCTGAGTCGATTTCGTAATCGGTGAGTGAATCGTGAGTTCCGTAATTTTTACTGAACATTTCTCCCCGTGCCCATATTCGATCGTCATAAATGTTCTCTTGGCCCTCATGACCTGTGTGACCCTAATTACCTGTCACTCGCTCAAATCATAAATTGAAAAAAATTCACAAAACGTTCTTTTTTTTTATTTTGCGAAAAAAAATCTAATAATTTTTCGATGAATTTCCGCAGCTCAATTCCGCCGACAGAATGAAATATCAATACTCCCATTCCATAAATATCCCCGAACTTTAATTGAACAGAGTGCAAATACCCAATACATTATAGTGTATTAATCTCCGTGTCACTCATTAACATTTATCCCACCGTTTGGCAGTTACGTTAATTAGAGCATAAGAGCACTCCACCAATTCGCCATTTGCCCCCCCGCCCCCGTGTCGTTCGAAAATTTCGCGTTGCGTCGTGGAAATAGCACGTGAAAGTGCCCAACGACCGATCACTGAATTACAATTTCACTACGAGATAATTAGTAAACTGTGGAACTGAACTGGTGACGTTCACCATAACTTGTGACTGCCCAGATAATACGAATTCCCTGGAAACAAACGGTTGAAATGTTGCGGCAACCGTTCGACTATGAAAAATGAAATAAATCATAATCCCATGTAGTCACGAATTATTCTACACGTAATAAATGAATACGTTTTTATACGGAGGTATTCTCCATTGTGACCGGCAGAGAATAGAGATAATCGTTGTTATTCCATACAAAAATACAAAATCATTATTTTATCCAAACTAAATGCATCAGAAAGGTATAAGAGAACGTGATGATTCTAAATAATCATGCGAGACGTTTAATGTGATCTGTCTGTCGACACGATGTCACTGCTCGAGTGAAACGTGCTCTCATAATAAATATTAAGGAAAACGAAAATCGATAAATTAAAAATTATAATTCAGAATTTATTACGAGATCTTTTTCAAGCTGATGGAATTTTCAATGAAAAATGTCACCTGACATTTTTCCTAAAATAACCCATCAAGATAATTCTGTTATTAACAAGACGTAAAAAATAGACTCGCTGCATTCTGCATTTTCGGATCAATCCTCCTCTCCCCCTCACTGTCATTATTTGAATTTAATTATCCTCGCGTCTCCGTGACGTCCATGTGCAATTTATGATGCGCAGACAACTGATATCAGTAGATAAATGACCGTGAGGGCAGCCACAATAAAGATAATCATTGTTATTCCATGCAAAAATACAGAATCATTATTTTATCCAGATTAAATACATCAGAAAGGCACAAGAGAACATCCTGAATAATCATGTGAGACGTTTAACGTGATCTGTCTTTCGATACGATGACTTGATGAATCCAAAAAAATGAAGCTCTGCAACTGCTGGAGTGAAACGTGCTCTAATAATAAATATTGAGGAAAAAGAAAATCCATAAATTTAAAATTGTAATTCAGAATTTATCACGAGAGATTCTTCGAACAGATGGAATTTTCAACAAAAAATGTCGCCTGGCATTTGCCCAAAAAGAACACGTCAAGATAATTCTGTTCTTAACAAGACGTAAAAAATAGACCCTTCAGTGTCATCATTTGAATTTAATTATCCTCGTGTCTCTGTAACGTGCATGTGCAATTTATAATGCTCAGACAACTGATATCAGTGGAAAAATGACAGTGAGGGCAGCCACAATAAAGATAATCATTGTTATTCCATACAAAAATACAAAATCATTATTTTATTCAAACTAAATACATCAGAAAGGCACAAGAGAACGTAGTAATGATCCCGAATAATCATGGGAGACGTTCATAAACGAAAATGAATTTTCTTAATCTCCAGTTTGAAATAAACGGTTGAAATGTAGCTGAAACCGTTCGACTGTGAAAAATGAAATAAATCACAATCCCATGTAGCCATGGATTATTCCGCACGTAATAAATAAATACGCTTTTTTTACGGGGATATCCATTTTCCATTGTGACCAGCGGGGGAAGTAATAAAAAAGACGGGGCAGGAGAACAGCCGGGCTGTTCTCGTCGGCTTGGACCATTTCCAACTGTTGTATGAAGTGTATGGGGAGTGGTATAAATCCATCGGTCTCGTGTTCCAGGGACATTGAACTGGGGCGAGCCTGAGACACCGGATTCTCTCGTTTCTGGAATCCAATTAACTCACTCATTACCCTTTCATTAACAGCCTCAGTGTCGAAGTGTTTGGGGGAATACGGGGTTAAACGATTCTCTCTGTTCTGCTCTGCACCTTTTAATGGGCTTCATTTTCATTTGTCAATGATACAGATGTAATGGAGACACATTTTTCAGAATAAATTAATCTTAATGCGCATTTCTTTAGATGAAAATTAATTGAAATACTAGACTGATTAAAAAATTCCACTGGAAATTCCAGATATAAAACCGGAGTAATAAAATATTTCAGTTGAATAGTTGAAACAAAATTTAATGAATTCGTTGAAATGAATAAAAATTTCAAATCAGTAGGTTTTACCACCACTTCGCACTCCAATCTCATCCACTCGCAGGTTCATTCGAGTAATTTTCGCTCAGTTTTCCTTCGGCTTTGTTTGAAATTCAGTTCGTCTATGTAATCCAATGAAACCGTTATTTCGAGTGTTAATTTAACATTTTGAAAAACGAGGGGTTATAAAAAATGTACGATGTAGTCGTAAAATTCTTCAGTGTTTCTCTCCCAAACCCCGAGGATATATTATTTATCATAATAACCAGGTACAATCTCCTAATTCCAGTTTATGTTAGTGTTTTATCGTCCTTCAGAGACCCTTTAGGGAGGGAACATTTTGAATTTTCAAGACGTACATGAATTCATTGGAGTATTTGAAACCTTATCTTGAGGGTGGACCGACGTTACTCATCACTACACGCATTTGGTGATGCTGAGATGACTGATGTCAGTGGATGAATGAAACAATAAAGATAGTGATCGTTATTCCGTACAAAAATACAAAATAATTATTTTATTCAAATTAAATATATCAGACAGGCACAAGAGAACGTAATAATCCTGAACAATCATATGAGACGTCGAGTGAAACGTACTCGAATAATAAATATTAAGCAAAAAGAAAATCGATAAATTTAAAATTATAATTCAGAATTTATCACGAGAGCGTCTTCGAGCTAATGGAATTGTCAATAAAAAGTATCTCCCGACATGTTCCCTGAAGTCACACGTCGAGATAATTCTGTTATTAACCAGACAAAAAATAGACTCGCTGTACTCTGTATTTTTGGATCAATCTCCCTCTCCCCCTCGTTCTCATTATTTGAATTTAATGATCCTCGCGTCTCCGTGACGTTTATATGCAATTTATGAGGCTCAGACAACTGATAGAGGGGATAAATGACAGTGAAGGTAGTCGCAATAAAGATAATCATTGTTATTCAATACAAAAATACAAAATCATTATTTTATTCAAATTAAATACACCAGAAAGGCACAAGAGAACGTAATAATCCTGAATAATCATGTGAGACGTTTAACGTGATCTGTCTTTCGACGCGATGACTTGATGAATCCAAGAAACTGAAGCTCTGCAACTGCTCGAGTGAAGCGTGCTCTAATAATAAATATTAAGGGTAAAATCGCTAAATCAACAATTCTAATTGAAAATTAATCAGGAGAGCTTCGAACTAATGGAACGTTCAATAAAAAATGTTTCCTGACAATTTCCCTAAAATCACTCGTGGAGATAATTCCATGATTCACAAGACATAAAAAATTGATTCATCCTGTTCTAAATTAATTTCGCTGATTTATTTTAATCAAAGGATACTGCATTTTTGGGTCAATCTCCCTCTGCTCCTCAGTGTCATCATTAGGATTGACGATAGTAAGAAAAGCCTGCGAAATACCACAAAAGAACCCATTACCCTTTAATAATTCTCGTATCTCAAAAAAATAATAAAGCTAAATTACAGAAGCCGTCAGTTTCAGCATAATCACTATGAAAAATGCGTTGAGCAGTTAAACCCCGAGGGAAGTGTTTTACAATGCCTCCCACACACACACACACACACACACACACACACACACGCGTCCTCATGAATGATAAATCATCCTCGAATGATTAAAATCTCATTGATACAATCCTCCCCCATTTAGCCAGTGGTGCATGCATGAATTTAGACGTGTGCGTGATGCCTTATGATTGTCCGAAGTAAGATTGTACTGTGGTTTACCTGCAGCCAGTCGTACATATTGATCAGTTTCCTCGACTCCAAATGCAGCTTATAAATAATACTTGTGTCTGGTAGTGTCTGCTGAATCGTCTCCTCGTTCTCTAATTTACAGCAACCGCACTGGTGAAATAAGAGGCCCATTTCCGTAAATATACATTTTCATTGCGGTGAATTTTGAGGATGAAGAGGTAAAACGAATTTGCAATTCATCAGGGATAAGGTGAATGATAACTGGGTTCTCAGTTGCATGAGCTAGTGGTGAATATTAGAGGATTATTCAGTTTTATGGATTTGATGATTTTTATGTGACCTTTGATTTGACCCTCATGTGACTTCTACCTGGCCCTTATAACCCTTCGTGTGATTCTCATAGGCTCATAAGGGCCATACAGAGGATTATCTCGGTGTAATCCTCATAGAACCCTCAGGAAACCTTCATTTGACCTTCATATGACCTTTATACCCCTTATCGGACTTTCAAACCTCATTTGACCCTTACGAGAACTCCATATGACCTCCACATGACCCTTCCAACCCTGCTTGTGATCCCCATAGGCTTGCTGATCTCTGTGACCCTCATGAAAGTTCATATAAGGGTCACAAGGGTCGTAAGGGTCATCAAAACCCTCAGGAAACCTTTATTTGATCCTCACATGACCTTTATAACCATTATCAGACTCGACCCTCATGTAGGTTCATGATCCGCATAAAGACTAACCTCATATGACCTTCATAAGACCTTCACAATATCCCATGACCTCCACATGGCCCTTAATGCCCTTAAGGTCCTGACCCTTATGATCACCACGGGTTTCTTGACCCTTATGACCTTCATAAAGGTTTATTAGCCTTAATAGGTTCATTAGTCTCATAAGGCCCTCATATGATCTCATGAAAGCCCTCATAAGGGTCTCATAACCCTCATAAGGGTCATGAGACCCTTTCATGAGATTATGATTACCCTTTTGAGGAATACGATCATAGCCCTCATAAGGGCGTATGACCCTCATTTCATTTTCGCACTACATCCTCATTGTGAATGTACAAAACTCAATTTCTACCCTCGAAAATAGTTCTTAATCATTCAGAAATATTCTCAAAGAGGCATTAACGTAATCTAATCTCCGTCTTCTGTAATATAATAACTCAAGGAGCTTGCAAAGTGTCACAGAGCATCAATTCCGAAATGATAAAATTGTACCGAAAAAAACTCACATTCAGGTAAATCTGAGGATCATTCAGCCCTGTGTGGACAGCCGCTCTCAGAGACCCTCTGAGATGATGCTTGGCTGCATTAGCATCGCTGAAACAGAATATTTCACTGGTTGCCAGGCGATTCGGATTCACCAAGTACACGGCGAATACGTCATGGTCTAGGTACTCCATCAGATCGATCTGTGCCTGTTTGTAGGGTGACCTCGATTGCTGCTGAGACATCTTCAGTAATTTCTGGGGAATTTCAGGGGATAATTAAACTCGATTATTCAAAAGCAATACTGTTGGTGTCACATTTTAAATTGTGAATTGATTATTGTCACAATTCAATGCAGCATTTCAATAATTTAAACATTTGTCTGTCATTACTTGACAAGTGATTATAGTCCACTGCGAGTCGGTTTCTCATAATTAATTCGGAGGTAAAATAAACTTGTATATTCTGTCCAATTCTTCTTTCTCTCTTGGAAATTGATTTCCCCCCATCCTTAGGTCTTCCTTGATGTCTTCTTGAGTTCAGTCGTCATTTTGTCTATTTGTTAATTTTGGTAAATTAACTCATGTGCACTGGGTTTGTTTATCGCTAATATTGAGTCTTTTTGTTTGTCAAAGTTTGTCAAAGGAATTGTTTGTCACTTAATTAATTAGGTAGTTCTTCTCACCTCTTTAAACTGTTGCCTGCTGAGTTTATCACTCATGTTGACAGTCTCAGATGACTCCTGCACCTCCAGACTTGCATTCTCAATAATTTCCAGGTGTCTCTCAAGGTTCTTATGAACCTCGGCTAAACCCTCACCTTCAGCCTTCTCAATAATCCCCAAAATGTCCCTCATTTTTCCCAAAAGTTCATTTTTCGAGAGAAAACCCAGTAGTTGCAGGCTCTCCTTGTACTCCTGTGTCTCCGCAATATCGCAAGTGACGGCATTAGCATAAATTTCGCGAAGCTAAAGGACCCGAATGAATTCATAAAAAAACACCACGAGAAACAGAGACAAACAGCTCAACAAAATGCTAATGAGAATAAATACTCGGGGCGGTAAAAAAAATGTTGTCAGTTCCTCTGTTAATCCACTGCAAAATTATTCCTTTACCAACTGAATTCACGTTTTGAGTTACATACTTGTTTTCCCAGTGGTGCACCAGGAAGAGAGTGAGCCAGTGAATGGAGGCACTTGAGAATGGTAAAAAATCCCCTCATAGCGTCATGAAACTCCCTCAAAAGTTTTCCAATGATATTTTTAAACTCATCCACTTGCATTTGTGGCTGTTTATCCCTTTTAGACTTTTCGATGTACTTGACTACTGATGGCAGCTTTCTCAATTCACTTATGTCTTCCTCGTTGAGATTATTCAATCGTTCATCAATGTCTCGTGGATTGCAGCACAATGTCGTTAGATTATTACCATAAAAATGTTGAATCATACAGAGCTGAAAAATAATCTCAAACTTTTCTCTTCGCAATTTTTTCTTTCGGGAATAAATAGAGAGAGGTACCTTGTAGCCCTGCAGAAATCCGTGGACTGAGAAATCGTAAAAGAGGAATATATCCGTCAGCAATTGAAATGCTCTACCCGTCAACATGAACGATGTTTTTCCTGATAACACAGTCCCTTCTAGAACGTCTGACAGACTCTTCATTTGAGTCTGTGTGTGAAAAACCTAGCGAGTACATTTTTTTGTGTTAAAAAAATTCTGAAGGCTTTGAAGAACGAATTAATTACCTGAAAATGTTGTTTTCATGTGTTTTTAATTTGAATACGCAACGACATCAAAAGATTAACGAAATTACGTGAAAAAAGCTCTAAAGATATTTGAAAAATCGTAAACAATCAAAATATTTTATTGATTAATTAATTGTTGGGAATGTAGTCATCAGGAGAATGTATCTGTCATCTGGAAAATATGTTGATAAACCTGGCAAACCCATTTTTTTTTCTAAAAAATGTCTGGAATTACGAGTACTAAAAGAACGTATAAACTACTTGAAACTCGTGTGTTTGAGTTTTTCTGCAATTTGAATATTCCAATTAAGAAGCTAATCTGCCACACAGCCGTGCCCGACGCTTTTAGCCTTAAACCCAGCCCTCATGAAAATTAGCAATTCATATTGTTCCCTCGTTTCATTTCCACGTTCGTCTACCACCGCGAGAGAACGTTTTGTTTGCTATCTAAGTGACTATGGGCCAGCCTCTCTCGCTCTCTTCATCACGTGAACGTGTGGATGAATTTGCGGATTTTAATGCAGTCATGAGTGAATTTGAAAAGATATTTGTATTTACCTTCACACGTAACTTTGACGTAACATCGTAGGAGAGAGATCTGTGGACAGCGTGGAGGGTTGTGGCAACACCGAATATGAGAATGAATTTTATCGAGCTCGAGTAGGAGCTGGAAAATTCGGATTAGATGGTTTTACATATTGTTAACAAAATTTGGGCTGAAATTTCTGGGATACTTATTGGAATTTTTTATAACACTATAGAGATTTCACTACTGAAATTAAAAAATTTCGGACGGAAAATTTAAAAATTTTAATGTTAATTTAAAAATTAAAAAATTAAAAAAATTGAACATTTTAGTGAAGTCTTCCCCCAAATCGATTTAAATTTCCATGTCTTTTATAAAATTGCATGATATGGCTGACGTTTGAGGGATTTTATGAGGTTTACGGTTATTTTTGCGCGGTTTACCTCAATACCAGGATGAAATCCCGGAGTATAATAGGATTGAAGCTTTCAAAGTCCGGTATGATAACCACTAGTGGAGGGGCTTCATTGTGTTTCTCTTGGTACCAGGACTCAAGTACTCGAAATGTGCATTGATTTTTTCGTACCTCCGGACGCCCGTTCTGGAGACATGAAGGCATTTGATCATTATCATGTGACCCATGTGGACCACACGAGACATCCACACCCACAGAAAGGCTTTATTTGAATTGAATGAATGGATTTATTCAAATGGCTCGTGATAAAGCTTTTATTCAAACTCAAATGTTATTTTTACTTGCATTTCCATTCGCATAAAATGAATATTTGCCTTTGCAAATGGCTGTTTTATAATAGATCCTAATGAAGACTTTATGCACATGTAATAGTCATTCATGTGAAATTAAGTAACTATTCATTTCATATAACTAAAATATTTTCATTTGCATAAATGGAAGAATTTCCAATAAAAGAGTTTTATGCGATCAAATTCGTAATTTCATCCAGAAATTCATTTATTTTTGAACCGAATTTTCTTTTAAAAATTCCTTTATATAATTCAATTGACGAATTTAATGATTAAAGAATCAAAATTTTAAAAAACACCCAAACTAAAAAACAAACTTGCGAAATATGAAAAGAAAACTGACATATTCTTAATGAGATGTTCAATTAATCAATAATTATTTACGTAGCACCTGAAAGTTTCGACTTTACAATCAAATATTTAATTGCAAAATTAATTTATCATTCAATGAATGGCTTCTTATTGACAACAGTTACGAATAAATTGTGCAGGTTTATAAAATCTCTAACCAATGGAAAGAGCATTTGATCATTATCATGTGGCATTTGGTCATTACCATGCGACCCATGTAGCCCACACGAGACATCCACACCCAAAGAAAGGCTTTATTTGAATTGAATGAATGGATTTATTCAAATGGCTCGTGATAAAGCTTTTATTCAAACTTAAATTTTATTTGTATTTTCATTTCCATTCACATAAAATGAATATTTGCCTTTGCAAATGGATGTTTTATTGATCCTAATGGAGACTTTATTTCCATGTAATAGTCATTCATTTGAAATTACTCAACTATTCATTTCGTATAACTAAATTATTTCCATTAAAATAAATAAAAGAATGTTAAATAAGAGTTTTATTGGATCAAATTCGTAATTGTGTCTCGAAATCCATTTATTTATGGACCGACTTCTCTCTTGAAAATTCCCTTACATAATTCAATTGACGAATTGAATGATTAAAAAATGCAACAAAAAAACCAACTACTCTAAAAAAACTTGAAGATCTGGAAAAAAACGAATATATTTTTATTGAGATGTTTCATTAATCAATAATTATTTCCGTGGCACCTGAATGTCTTGACTTGGCAATCAAATGTTTAATTGCAAATTTAATTTATCATTCAATGAATGGTTTCTTATTGTGAACTGTCACGAGCAAATTGTGCACGTAACATTTATATAAAAGCCCTAACCAATGGAAAGAGATTGAATTTTCCCATGTGATTGGATTAATATTCAAGACAGTCGCTCTGGTTGAGATACGTCAACCCAATTAAAATAATCCTGAATCATTCAACAGCTGAGAACTTATCGCCCTGGATGTCTAGATATGCAGAATGCTCTTAGTTAAAATACGTCACCTCGTTGGAGCCATTGATCAACTGAAAAACAGTTTCCTCAGTTAAATTTTTCATATTCCCAGAGTCTCTCGACTGAATAACAGCGATGTGTTCGGTCACAGTCGATATCTTCGCCGCTAATTTACCGAATAATACCTCATGATCGGGCAGATTAACACCTTCGCAAAATAATTCATCATAAATACGCGAATAACGAGGAAAATCAGACAATTCATTCAGGATATTCACCTGTCAACAAAATAGCTGTTGCAATTTCCCCCAAAAAATTCTCCTCAGTCGTGTCATTAACATCTGACACGTAACATTGTAAATCAGACAGGATTTGCTTGAACATATTGACATTGATCTCCTGGAAATAATTTTCGAATGAATAATTTCTGCGGGAAATTTAATGCCAGTGGTTCATAAATTCTGGAATTTTCTTGTGAACGATGTGTTTTATACCGAAATGTCGATAAATTTCTCATCAAACTTAATGTCTTCGCTGTTCCCAGACAACTGGGAATAGTTGACGTTTTTAAGTTAATGATTCCAACAGTTTTCTGTGGAAATTCATCATAAGGAGATTTTTGTAAACTCCAGAATTCGAAAGTATTAAGAATTGTTCGTAATACCTCTGCTGCATTCTTTATTATTGACCAAGCCTCTGTGTATGCTTGATACCAAGGCTCATCTACAGGTGCATCGTCCCTGATGTTTCGTTTCTTCTGACCTATTTTGTAGCTGCCTTTATAGGCAAATATTCCCTGAGTGAAAATAATCATTGGAAGATCAACAAAATGAAGGGGAAAAATCATTAGAAAATTAACGCAAATTGAAATGACTGGAATTTTAAAAAAGGAACGAAAAATTCCTGATTTTTTGCTCCTTTCCGATCTATTCCGTAGTTGCCTTTATAGGAAAATATTCCCTCAGCGAAAATAATGATTGGAATTTCAACAAAATGACGGGAAATTTTTTTTTTAGAAAAATAACACAAGCTAAAGTGACTTGAACAAATAAAAAAAGCGAAAAATCCCTGATTTTTCGCATCTTCTGACCTATTCTGTAGCTGCCTTTATAGGCAAATATTCCTTGAGTGAAAATAATCATTGGAAAATCAACAAAATAAAGGGGAAAAATCATTAGGAATTAATACTAATGAAAACAACTCGAGTAAAATTAAAAGCAATTAGTCATTAGTGAGAATTTGACTAGCAGAATTATTTAAATAGGGGAGGTTGGGGTAAAATGGACACTTTTGATTTTTTTTTAAATGTTAATGACGGGTTGAAATGTTGATAAAATTTAATAATTTTTCTCTCATTGCAAAGAACAGTTCTTTCCCTTTATGATGAACCTAACCTGAGCTCACTTGATGAATTTGTTTCTGAGTTATGAGTAATTAAAACAAAAGTCTAAAGTGTCCATTTAACCCCACTTACCCCTACCTAAATTAATTATTTAAATAGTAATTTATGAAGAATCATAAAAATTATTAAACAACATTTATGGTCAATTATCAAAACAATTGTAATATTTCCCCAAATAATAATTTACCACGGATATAAATTATTATTCAAGCATGCAGAATTATGTAATAATGTATAAAAAATAGTAGACAATTATGATATTATGCCACACACACGAAACATTGATCCCTATTTACGAAAAATTTATCAGTTAATTAATTTTTGGGAAAATAATCATTGCAATTCTACCAAAAAAGTTCTAAAATAATTTTGTTTTCAATTGTAAACAATCATGAGATACCGCAGCAGTCAGAACATCTCCAATTAGAGAGCAATCAGTTGACGAATTGAATGTTGAAGATGTAATTTTTAGAATAGCTGAGAAAATTTCGAGTGCCAAGATCTCAATTCCAAAAATAGAACGCAAAGCGAATTACTCTTCAATCCACACATTCTCCACGACTTTAGGTTATGTCTCCCATGCAACAGGTTGTAATGTTATATTTATCGCTCTACCTTCGACACAGAGACGTTATCCATTATGGAAAATAGCTCCCAGACGCTTCTGGAATGATTGATAACCACAATTTACACGATTTTACGGATTTTTTGGGGATTAAAAATCCAGTTCTTTGGGATTTCGGGGGAAACTTTGCTCCGATTGCCGGGAGAGACACCGGGCATTAGTCTCGAACTGGTGGGGAACACTCGCTGCCGCTGACACACACTCAAACTAACAGCTGAGTCTGCAGCTGTCGTCGCAACTGCTGCCACCACTCGATAGTTGTTTCAGTGTAGTTTCAAACTTTTTGCGAATTCCGCGGGAAGGGGGGGGGGGATTAATCAATTGATGGGGAAACTATTCATTGGGAATTTTTCATATTGACAGTTAGTACCGTTGATGATGGACAGGAATTTTATTAGCTTGAATTTTTTTTTATTGAAATTTTCATTTTTTTTTATTTTAACAACTTTTTTCTCTTCTTGTTTGAGAATTTCTTTTCTTTGTTGAAGGTTTGTCTATTGGTTTATCTTCTTTATATTTGTTATTTTTTTATTCTGTGATATTCAGTAGTGTTGATGATTGACAACAATTTATATTCGTTTAGAATTTATTGAAATTTTTTTTTTTATTGAAATTTTGAAAATTTTGTTTGTTTGTTGGAGGTTCATCTCTTGGTTTATTTTCCTTATCTTATTTATTTGGTATTTTTGACGAAAATTACTTGTTATCAAAGCCATCTAGTATTGAAAATTAATGACATTTGTATCAAATGCCGAGGAATTAATTCAAACGTTTTTCGAAATTTGTAATTTTGTTCGTTTAGAATGTATTGAACTATTATTTTTTATTTGATGCCTTTAACTAAACTTACTCTTCCTCACATTAATTTAATATTGAAAATTAATGACATTCAGATCAAACTGCAATGAATCAATTCTATCGTTTTTCTTTTAAAAATTGTCTCCAAAATAAGTAATTTAAAAAATGGCAAAAGGAATTTTTGTGGAGCATTAACTTTTCAAACAAACACATTCCCCACCATTAATTCAACATAAATTTTAAAATTTTTGAATTTATTGCCTTCGTTTATCTTCTTTATGTTTTTCATTTTGTCAATTAATATTGAAAGACCATTAATTTCCCATAAAAAAAACATCTAAAAAAATGGCCGTGACTATTCGCACCATTGCGTGAATCATCCCGTACACTCCATACCTCCACGCATGCGTGAAGTTTGTGTGTTTCACGCAGCCGAATTTTCATACTGCTGTGTATTTCACGCAGTTGAAGTTTCATACTACTGTGTGTTTCACGCAGTTGAA